ATTATCAAAAGGTTAATGAAGGTTTCTTTTCGTACTCGTCCATTTCAGTTTTTTTGTGAATGGCACAAGAGTAAGGTGTTTCTGGGATTTGCTTTCAAAACACTAGAAGAAAATTTCAGAAAAGATGAAGAGAGAAAAAGCTTGTCATTTCTCATATTGTGTATTTTTATTCTTTAAAAAGTTAAATACAATGTGCAAATGTACATAAGATACACATCTTGCTTTTCTTTCAAATTTGGACGCATTTAAAATGTCTAACAAAATATCCAGCATCAAGAACCTTCTCCCCGTGTGGTTATGGTTGCTCATCACTGTGTACCAAAAAACAATTTACAGTGTAAGAACAAAAGAAAGGGGTAAACTAGAGGAAGCTATCTGACCATTCTGGCTAGTTTAGCAGTTTGTAACTAACCAAATAAAAAATGTTGTCCAGCTGTTTCTTAAAAGTCCAAAGTTTGAGCCTCAGGGACCTGGCTGTGATGGCTGTTCCTGCTACCCACAACTCTTAGTGAAAAGTAGTATTTTATATTTTCTGTCTCAAATTAATTCCCTTTAAGATCCCAACTATGACACTATGTTTGTTTCACTAAGTGTGAACCAACTCTCTGTATTCATCGTTTGTAAACCTTTCAGGATTTTAAACACTTGGATTAAGTCTCTTATCAATCTCCTTTGTTGAGAGATTTAGTTCTGTTAAAGTGTCCGTGTACGGAAATTCTGCTGAGACCAGAAATCATACCCGCTACTTTTTTTAAAACTCCTTAGGTTACAATGTCCTTTTTGTGGCATACTAAATAGAGTTTGTGATATTGCATTGTAAAACATGGCAAGATATGACTCCCTTTGAGTTATCCACACAACCTATACCTATTACAGAGACAAATAATGGCTTCTGAAAACTGTCAAGTACAGTGATAGCAGTTTTCTAAACTGAAAAGTATAAATAGCAGTATTTTGTGTAAGAATAAAAAATGTATAATAGTTTTTATTATACATTTTGTATAATAAAATACCCAAATTTGGGTATTTGTATACCCAAATACTTATTATTTTTGATGGGGATATAGAAAAAAAAGATATAAGCACTCAGATTCCTTTAATGTACAGTATACAGTAGCTACCTGCAGTATGAAATATGCATGTTACTACTTCCTGGGTGAACCACATTTAATTTTATCACTGCAGTGCAGGATTGCTTGCATCTGCCCAATTTGAGGTTACACCATTTAAGGTGACGTGCTGCTCCCATTTCATTTTTGGAAACAATGGTATGTGCATACAGTAGCGTAGATTCCTAAGGGATTTAATGAGAGACTGAACCTTTTACAAGTGACACTATCAGGAGCTTTCTGGAAATCCAAAAAACACAAAGAATTTTTGTTCAACAAGGTCTTCGCTTTCTATACTAATGATGGTTATCTCCTTAAATGCTATGATTTTGATATTTCATCTACGAGCGTCCTTCTGGTTTAGCTTTCGCTATCATTCCCATAACTTTACCACTAACAGAAGCAAAACTGATAGGGTAAATTTTTGTACCCTTTTTAACACTATTTTTTTTAAAGAACTGGTTCTTCCACATCTCTGAACTTTATTATCATCACATCTTTAAAACTCTTTGGTTTGCCTTAAATATTAGGACTGGTAATCTCCCTGTCTAAGTGAAGTGTGCTTTATACATTTGAACAGTCTTGTGCATTTTCCAATCGTGTCTACAGGGGACGTCCTTAATTACAGAAGCTAAATATTAAATCCATCTTGAACATTATCAACAACATGCCAGTTATGATAAAGTTTACAGGTTGTTTAGTTAAGTTTAATAAATGTATGTGCACCAACATTAGATAGATACTAGATAGATAGATTATAAAAGCAATTTGGTATTCTGAAACCTGTATATTACTGAACTTAAAGTGTCTTATTCATGTGAGCAGAACTCTCTTTTTAAACCTCAGACACACTATTATTTATTATGCAACACATTGTTAATTAGTATATGCTAGCCTATTAGGAACTGGTTTGTTGGTCTGTATTGTGAAGTCTGTGCAGCAGAACCTCTCAGTGAAGAAGTAGAGAAAAAAATGAAAAACATTTACAAAAACATAATAAACATGCCAAAATGAGAATAAAACCAAGACTATCACGGCACTTAAGTTATGTTGAATAAAAGATAATGCTGCTTATTAACCAAACCGTGTTATATCACTGATAAAGGTTAACTGAAAAAAAATATAATTTGAACGATTTTCCTAAATAAAGCCCCAGGGTACAATTTTCAGAGCACTTTGTTCAATAAAAAATGCTTTCAAAACAGTGCTCTGGTGATTGGGAAAGCTGGCCACATCTGTCAATGTAAATGCAGCAAATTTCATTGAGGTAAATAATGAGCCATTTGCATTATTTTCCTTAGGCATCAGTGATCCACAAATATCTACTGAAAATAGCTCTTTAAACAAATTATGACAGGGACCTTCCATGGTGCTGACCTTTCTTGACCCCTATATCTTTTATATTTATAGCACTCTTTCTAAGACTTTACCTGATAGCAAAATGGGCTGTAAATTGTGGGATGTAGAATCACAGTCCTGGTCATAAAAGCCACAAGTATGGGATTAAACATAAAGTTAAACAGGCATCAAGTTTTCTTTTTTACCTCCCCATGATCCATGGTGATGTTATCTCACCACTTAAGAAAGGAAAAAATAAGATTATACTGTAAGTTATCCTCAATCTAGTAAAAAAGAAATGATATAGTAAACCAGTTTGACCTTTTTTCTGAAAAATACTTTCAGGCTACAACAAAAGAATGTCTTTGATATATGATTCACTAGCAGTATGCACTGTTTAAAATATGGAAGAAGAAACTTAATATTAACTTCATATCATAAGTAAATGGCTCAGCTACAGTGTTTTCTATAGGTATACATAAAATGATCGAACTTTGATATAATTCCAAACATAATCAGAATAACACAATTGAGAAATTGATAATCACACCGTACCTTCTCCACACAAAATATTGAAGAATTATTTAGGTCAGATTGTCGTGACCAATTCTGTTTAGTTGTATGCCATGGCCAGAACACATAAAAAACAGCTCAATCTTCTGAGTGTGTAACAGGCTACAGTATATTTAAATATATAAATATTGGATTTTATAAAATAAGTTTTTCAAAAACAATTGTTTTAACAAAGACCAGAAAGTACACTGACTTTATGACACATCCGTATATGAATCAGAAAACACAATAAAGAACAGTAAGCTTTTTCAAGCAATGTGAAAAATAAAATCTTTGTAAACAGTTGAACATTTACTTAAAATGTTCCTCAAAGAATTTACATTTGTGTGACACTATTCAGGCCTTAAGAGAACTGTTCAAGTGTTCTTAACCAGTGGCTGCAATCTGATTCATCCCAAATTTCACAAACAGCTCACTTGTCTACATCTCATAAAGCTAGTTTACAATCCTGGTGTCAAAATCTCATTGATTCGGCGCCAACTGCTGAAGACTTGTATTCTATGTCATTAGTTTAAATCCATAAACTGTCAACCTGGACAGAACTTGAATGGAAGGAAAAATAATAATTATTATTTAAAGGGAAATTATAACTAAAGAAAAATTAAACAGATCAGGGTCATAATGAAGGCTAACAAATTAAGACACATTATGAAAAAAACTAAATAGAACACAGAAAAAGGAAGGTTTAGGATGGTAAAACGATTTCACTGAACCTTTACCAAAAACCCAGGTGAGCTACTCTCCCATAAAGAAAAATAAACTCTTCCTCATCTTCACATGATATACGATTCCTCTTGGGTGCTATTTCAATTTTTTCTCATTGGATCATAGGATACTTTTATTTACAGTATGTGTTTCATTAGGTGCTTTTAAAGTGTTTGGAGCATTGACGCACACACCTGAGCAGTTTCTGGACAATATTCCACCACTCTTCCTGAGAAATTGTAGTTGCCTGGTAAAGCCCCACCAGTTATGGTTGTCTCCTTTTAAAAACACTGGTGACTGTCAAGGACCTTGGACCATTAGGTTGCCTTCAATTTGTACCCAATACAATTTTGTGTTAAAGGTTATTTCTCCCCATATTATCTTTTGCCCCTCACTTCCACTGCCCCACCAGTTAACTTGAACAAACTAGCAGCATAATGTTCACCAAAGACATCTCCACATTGTCTCTCACCAGGCCTATCAAGGGCAAAAAACATTCACAGGTGAATAAAACACTCCACCAATGTCTAGTTCCAACTTAGACAATCTTTGACCCAAAGAATATGGTAATTTAGGTTTTCAGCTGTCAACATTACTTCCGAGCAGTCTCTGAGGAATGATATCATTTTCAAGCAGATGATACTGCCATTATACTTAATTTCTTGCTGGAATTACTTTGTCATTGTAATTTGAAAGTGGTCATACAGATGGATCAGAGAGATGTGAGGGTTCTGGGTGAATCTGGAGACTCTCTGCCTTAAAAGGTCTGGTAACTACAGAGCTAGTTTCCTTTGGTCCTATACGTGCTGGAGTAAAATATTTCAGTCTTAATGTATCTCACAGACAGGCTACCTTCAATCATGGAGATAGCAGCTACTGTAGGCAATCTTTAATATGGACATGGTGTAAAGTAATTTTAAATAATCAACGAATCAACTAATTTTGGCTATTTTAACTCAACACATACAAAATACTTAGTATTTGATCATTCATTTATGAAATCACATGACTTGAACTCAGTATTGTGGTATAACTAAGAACATTACTACTCCATACAATTAACAAAACCTAAATGATCACTATTTAAAATGCAAATAACATAATGCAACATGTTAAGTTCACTGTGCCTATTTGATACAAAGCATAGACTGGTACAGTTTTATTGTGCATCAGTGTATGCCTTTCATCATTAAATACTGCATGATTTAAAAAATAAAAATCAAATTCTTTGATTTAGGCTGCTTATCCCTTCTGTACAAATTATCAGCTACTGACCTCGTCTGGGCTGGAGGCCTGGTAGGTGCGGTTCTCGTCGCTGAAGTCCTGGTCTGCTTCGGCATACTCCGGCTCGCCGCTGACTCCTGTTCGAGACTCATACACCGGGGTAACATTGTGGCAAAGGGCAATGGCCTTCACTGCCTCATGAATCCGGCTGCTCACGCTCTTCCGTACTTTCGGTGCTGATTGCTGGATTTTACGGGATGGCGTGGAAGTGTTACTGCTTCCATTGGACTGACCGCTTACCTAAAACACAAGAAGCAGAAGCCAATAATAACCATCATCATTATCGGCATTGTCAGCCAAAGCATCTCAAAGATCTTTACGCATAGAAAGGGACTCTGACTACCAAGAAATTTCAATCCCCACCTGGGTGACACATGGCAGCCACATTTCAACCAGCAAGCCCACTACGCAGCAGATTAGATGCACGAATGTGACATGACTTTACCAATTCAATTAAGGGAGGCTACTTTAAGGAAGCTTGAAGTGGAATGTAGCCCAGGAAAAAAAAAAACATCCCTACTGCTTTGAGAAGTCCCTTGGGACTGTTTAACATCCATTTAACTGGGTGGCACCCTCTGCTGCCTGAGTCACCTCAATAGCCATACTGAGGCAGTGGTTTTGTAATTCTGGTCCAGAGGGAAAACTGTCAGCTACTGGTCCACCAGCTCCCTTGGCATAAGCTACTGTATATAGGCTCCTACCATTCTCAGTGCCCAGGCTCAGACTTGCATAGGTTCTGAGATCTCGTTAACTCATGTTACCAGGTGGTAATGGTAATGGTTATAAGAATGATATAACATTGAGCATCTATTTTTACACTACCGTTTAAATGAAATCACGGTTTAAAGAATTTTGTTCTTTTAGTGCCTCGATTAAAAACAATCCTTTTATGCCACTTAATGAAGATTTACAAACAAAATCTTGAGTTACATCTTACATCTAACTGACCTCTTATTTAACTGCCTGAAATCAAATTTAACAAGCAAAAATCCTCCAATAACAATTATATACCCTGCCACCAGTCAAAACCCTGACATAATTGTTTCTTTGTATTTTATGTTCCATTTGGATTATGCTCTAATTCCTAAAGTCATGGCACACAATCAGAAAAGAAAGCACAGCTGACAGCTCTTTCTTTGAAGTGGAGAGCTTCTATGCCATTGCAGACCTAAGTGAATTTTATTTGCATGCGATTCATAACAAAATGGTATACTAGAAGAAAAAAGACGACACCTAGTCTTTTCATGTCATACAGTTGTTTGAGGCCTTTTTTTTTTCCTCTTTTCCTCCCGCAACAACCATCAATTTAGCCCTGTGGTGTCTGGTAGGCACCATACTGACCCAGCTGTATTTGACAGAGTTTATCTGCTCTACTGAAGCAAATCATTTTTGATGATTAACCTCCTACTCGAGGAGAAGTCCTGTAAGGTTAAGATGTGAAATGACAACCTTTCCTGATCCCACCAGAGCTATCAGACACTTTACTGTTGGCTCCAGACTACTGCAATCCTCCTTTTGAAAGCTTGGCTTTCTCATTCAGCCCCCCCCCCCCTCTTTTGCCTGTCTGGGTGTGCGGCCCTCTGAACCGTGAACATTCTGCCCATCAAATTACAGTGTTGTCTAATAAAAGGTTTAACTTTTCTACTCATCTGCTTCAGCCTTTCAGCCACTGCTTTAAGCCTTCTGCATTTGCATTCTACAAACACCGATGCCATTACGCCGTCAAATAAATTAAGCCGATTTACTCTTCTGAATTATGTTATGTTTATTGATGCTTGTATAATTTAATTTCACACAAATTCCATTAAAGATTATGCCCTCTGTCACAAAATGCTTCCAGTGGGGAAATATAATCAGGTTATAATAGATTTGTGTGTTGCATTACAGTGGACCTACTAGACTATTGTCATCTTAATAATAAAAGAGCACACAAACAAGGGGATAAAAATCAATGGTACCAAAGCACTACCGTCACACTGTACTAAGTGACTGGCAGTTTTCATTACCAGAGATTAAAGACAAGACACCAGCAGATGGGTTTTAGCTTCGAACAACTGCTGGATGTTTGCTGAGTCTGTACGATACCCATTTCTTAATCTTGGTCTCCTTTTAACAAAACTACATAGCCAAGGTTTAGCTATCATAATTGGACCCAAGCACACAAAAAAGAAAGCAAATTATCTACAGAGTTCTAACCCAAAGCTCCTTGTGGTTACAAAATCTGATTAAGAAAAGATAAGTCTGATTCTTGTTATTTCTTGTTATTTCTTTTTAATATGCACCATAGCACAAAAAATACTGCAAATGGAGTTTAAAATGATTGTATGTAACAAGTGAATGAATAAAATTCATTCAGAAATACTGTACCTCAGATGACTTTCTTTAAAAAAATAATAATTTCTCCCCTTACATACTTTCACTACCTATTGTGGACCTCTATATTCTGTATGTTAATTTTTTCATGTTTTTTTTTACTTTGCCATTCAATCTTGGTAAAAAAAAATTAAATTATTTAAAAAAACATCTAAAATTCTATATAATCAATGTGCTGTACAGTGAACTTAATATGATGACTTTTATTTTCAGCAGTATTATTTTCATGTGCAATGATCAGCTATTAAAGAACTGAGCACAGTAATACTATATATCTATTCTTTAAAATAAGCCATTCAAATTTTGCCCATCTTTTTTAATACTTCTATCGGGATTGAACAAAACAACACATTTAACCTGTCCAGAAGTTTGAATGTTCTTCTTTTAATGCTTTCTGGTAATGCAATTCTGAATGAGAATGAAGATACAGTAGGTGCAAATGAGTTGCAGAACTCCAGCTGAGCCTTACTGCGACCGTGTTCGACTCTCAAGAACTGCTACATGCAGTCAATAGCATCTTTTATCACAATGGCATATTAGAGCATCTATACAGCATGTAAACTATTTCTTATGTAATTCTTTTCTTCTGGAGTCTGTCACAATGCACAGAAGGAGACATTGTAGCTGGCAAGAGTGTGTTACCTGGGCGTATGACTGTATGACATGACTCTGAATTTCATCCATTGTGTCTGTCCCATAGGATACTGTGCCCAGGTGGAGACGCTTGAATATCATCTCATTCTGTGTCAACGTCCCTGCAATTCACAAAAGAATAAGTTAGTAGGCAAGTTAGGTCAGATCCAATGTCTCTTTGAAGATACTTTGCTGTTACCTGTACTTTACTAACTGTGCCACAACACAGTTCAATGTAAGACATACTGTATTCGAAAATTGTTATGCTCTCTCCACAAACAAATGAAAAAAAAAAACTGAATAATTGAGCACTGTGCAGTTTTGGAAAAAGGAAATTCGTTTTAAGAAAAAAAAGCCTAAATGTCTATTCCCTGAGTGATAGCAGCTGTTACTAACAGCAGACCTCCAAACCCAGATGCAAGGCTCCTGCAGATTGTGAGCAGAGGATGTCTGGGGTTTTGAGGGGCAGAGTGAAAGGCAGAACACTTGTTATAGAAGACTAGGATGTCTTTCTTCTTTATATTGTACAACTACACTCTAGCAACCAACAAAATCCCACACCCTTAGGATAACATGTAATCACATCGCTTGGTGCTGTTCAAAACATCTGTTAAAAAAGGTTAAGGGAGATCCCTTTCTGTTAAACCATTAAACCCAAAAAAATTCAACTACAGAAATTCTACATTTAACATATTTAAAAATAATGTTTATATAAAAGTAAAATAAAAAAACAGTGTATCCTCATACAAAGCTGCATGCAGAGGTCTTTGATTTCTATACATTTTCTGTAGTCAATTATATGTAAAGAAGGTGTCCATGAAAACTGAAAAAAAATTAACAGAAAAATGACTTTTTTAGAAGCTACAAGCAAATCCTTCAAAACTTAAGACAAAAGGTTAAATAATACAGTTTGTGAAAAACTTTGAACAAATTGAGTATTGAGTATATGAAACTACAGTATGTTCTTAAAGCACAGGCATTGTGGTTCTTGTTATGTTAGTCTCTTTCAGAGCTTTCATTCTGCCCTTGTGTAGTTTGGCTGAGATCAGCAGGAAAATGCACTATATACTGTAAATTGTGTTATAAAACAGAATATGACGACTGATACAAATCAAAGCAAACTAGCTTATTAAACTAAAAAGACAAGATTTTCATGATCAGCAATGGGACAAGCTTTTCAAATTTTTCCAATATTATTTTCCATCTGTTTTACTTCTATACCCATTCTTTTTGGAAATGCCAGCCCCATTAACAAACACCAAGAGAATTTGTAGCTGATATTTCTCACTGACATCAAAATAATCTCTCAGTCAGCAGCATGTTGCAGGAAGCAAAGCTATGACAAACATTGAGGGGACCCTGGTGTACTAAAGCCCACCCAAACCCAGTACTGTAATACTTAATAAAACTGGGGGGAATGGTTGTCCGCATACATATTCACTGTCACACTGAAGGAAATTCTCAATGGTGCAAAAGACCTGGCTTTTGACTAAAGTCTTTGCAAAGCACAGTTCCAATGAAGGCACTACAACACCAACAACAACACCAAAAACAAAACTTAACATTCTTCTTTTGTTAGAAGAAAACACCAAGCCTAGAAAAAATAAATTAATATCACAAGAAAACAACATTCAATTACTGTGTAGGTTTCATGAGGGTGGGTTAACACTTGACAAGTATAACTAGTAACAGCTATTCCTATTACTAGCAGTACTGGATTCATTGGCCAAAATATCTTTTACAAAATCCTGTCTTCGTCTAGAATGCGAGAACAGATTATACAGGACACAGGATGTATTCCATAAGTTTTAAAAATGTCTGCACCCCAGTCTCTTCCCACTCTTCTGGTGGGACTACTTTCAGTTGAAGTTGTGCTGAGAGTAATGGTGCATGAGAAGTAAAATATGTGTTGCAATGGCTCCACCAGTTGTCAAGAGGAGTTCTCTGGGAATATTTTTGGACAGGGACAGTCATGAAACGCCATGAACGCCATTAAATTGTGAGAGCAATATTACTTTCAAGAAACAGATCGAAAACCCACAATACGAAAACTGGCACAGTAACTGGCAACACGTTCCGATTACATATCTTGCCAAATGTAAAACCACTTTTGGAATTTATTAGCAATTTTTTTTAAATAAAACTACAGCAAAAGGGCTTTATGTGATTATTATTTGATATGCTCATTAAAAAGAAAATACTGCCAGTCTTTGAAGTGCAAAACAAGATCTGTAAGATAATGGAAGACTTTTCAAGGCACAGTTCACTGTATCAAATTCAAGTGTAATATTATATCCATGCTTGGCAGGACTTGCTGGGATCATTTATTAAACTACACAGAAAAAAATAGTTGGGGAAATGCATTGAATTAGGGGACACTGATTTTTCCTTAGACACATTCCAACTTCATTGTCTTGCAAATGTAGTTGCTTGGCACAATGACAGCTTTATTGAGACTAAGTCAGTCTCCTCCGCTCTGAAGGAGCCATTCATTACCTTCTATATAGTGTTTAACAAGTTTCTTAAATGAGCTGCATACCTTTGTATTATGTTTTGACTTCGTCTTTATTTACCTGTTGTGTCTGTTTATTACACGAGATTAATAGGCCATTTTAATATCTTAAAGGGTATACAATTTTCGTTACAGTGCCTTTCACCCTAAATTGGTTTTTAAAAGGAGTTTTTTTCTTAATTGTAGCACTTAGGTTTATTGCAGATTTTCCAACTATTCCATCTAAAGGAAGTACCCGGCCGCATCAAGTCCAATTGTTTTAAAACAAATTGTAATTATCCCATTACAATTATCTCTGTGGATTTCCTGAAGCATTTTTCAAGTAATATTAGTAAAAGTACTTCTTCCCCCTGTAAGAAAAGCTTGCTTCCATCACGTCTCTTGACTTCCTGTTTCCCTATGTACCCCTGTGTCTACAGCAATAAAACAATGATACATATTTACAAATATCTGAACATTGTCTTCTAATGATTTTTCCTCCTAAACAGTGGAATATTTCCATTTGCCTACAATTTTAATTATAGTGTATGTTTTAATTTTTAAAACCGCTGTGAAGAGTTGTTACAATCCAGTATTACAATGTGACTTATCATTGAAATGATATTGGATATTCAGTTTTGTATATTGAGCAAATAGATCTCAAGTGAATTGAAGTGTGGACTACCATATTCCAATCCCTAAAGCTTGCACCCTTCTTACAGATGCATCGATCAGACCTGCTGTTTTGAGTTATGAGGAGACAGTACACCTGATTGAACATGTAAAAGTCATAGTCACTGAACAAAACGTGTCTACTTAGTTTAACTTCTCTTTTACCATGTTCACTTGATATTGAGCAAAAATGTCCCTTTCATCATTAAAGTCACAGGACATATGCGATTTTTATGTTTACTCTTCTGAAAATTACTTCTGAAATTAATTATAACAGCAGTAAAACATTCCACTTGCTTTACTATAAAATCAGAGAAACCTCATGTTTCAAGTAAATAACACCTTGGCACAACACATACTAGAGAACTGTTAAAAGTTCAAACTAAAAAATATGTTAAAGGTATAATCTGTGCCTTAAGTCTGCAAATTACCTCTGTTCAGTGATAGTTCTGAAATACAGGTCTGCTCATGAAATCTGAACGCTACACTTGACAAAGACAAAATTATGGTCTAGCAGGAACCAAATATGAAGTTCTCTTTGGAAAACATTTGTGTGTCCCGACTATAGTACTAGCTCATATGATGAAAAGAACACAAAAATACTAAAAATTATGAGTTTCATATTAGGACAAAATTCAAAAGAGAATTTTATATCCGATTTTGATTTCCACATCATAACTAAGAAATCCACATTAAGATTTAAACAGGCTCTTGTTACAGTAACTGCTTATGTTCTCAAAGCTCACTCAGAGAGTACACAAGCTAATAAAAACAATAATATTGTCAAGAACAGCTTTTACAATAAGATGGATTTGAGGTGAAAAACAGAAATATAATCTAAATTGGAGGTCATGTGAACGAAATGAAAACAATAAATAATTATATACTTGTTTTATGTTGCTGTTTTTTACAATATTGAAATACTCCTCAGTCTTTCTTTTCATTATCACAATGCTTATTTAATATGTAAGCACATGGACATTCAAGCTGTATTTAGTACGCATGAAAAACTTAAAGATTTGACAAAACAAGTAAACAAGTAAATGAGTACATGGAAAGAAAATAATAGCACAAATTGTGACTCAAACGTACCATAAACACATTAAGATACCCACTCTAACTTTGAAGCTTAGAAATTTGAGGACCACACACATGCAAACAGCACCTGGTGGGAAATAGAATCTTCCCCCACTCATGGAAAATCAAGTTTTGAAATGGCCAAAGTAATTCAAAGTGGGGTCAAACAGCCCTATTCACGCAATGCATCTGTCATCTTCAGCTGTTGCAATTTTTTTCCCCCAAAGAGTTTAATTGGCATGCTTTGTACACAGCAAAGTGTGCTCAACTTCATTTTCACAGCATCTTTCAACCTATCTACTGGATAATCAAAAAAAGAGATCATAGGTATTATTTATCTACAATGACACTAAATAATTATGACTGTTATTAAACAGACAATAATGCTAAGCTTCTGTTCCCTTTCAGTGGGGACATCACGGTTCCTAGATTTCACAGAGGTGTTTTCAACAGGCAGATATTACCCTTTTTTCTAGCTCTTCTGGCTGGAGTTCCTCATCCTCTCTACTCTGAACTGCGGCATCTAACACTCTTTTAGTATTACAGAAACATCTCTGTGAACTATTAAAGTAGCTGATCTATTGAATTTAATCATACCAGCTTAAACACTGAATCTTCTGGCAGTTTCTGCAGAGAATACTTATTATGAGCAGACAGTGACATAAATATGGATGTGCTCTATTTTAAACGAAATAATTCAGTAAAAGAAAGTTACTGAAGGTGGGTAGCAGTGTGGGGTGGTGTAATATATTATTCTGTGCCCTTTCTATACACACCAGGTAGCTAACACCTCCTTAAAAAATGCAATCTGCTTCCAAAGTTTCTCTCCAAGACAAAAGTATCTATCTAAAACATTTAAAAAAATTATCTGAAACACTCAACAAGTTCCATTCGCATTTAGATTCTCTCTCTCTTTTCCTTAGGATGCAGAGAAAACCAGGGGATCTGATGTCTTTCTACAGACATCAGATGTAGAAAGATATCTGAAAGCCTCCACTTTCTGGTTTTTAAAAGTCACAAGCCAATTGTTTTCTCTCAACTGGTCAGGGTACTGAGGTTGGCAGGTCATTCCCCATAGCTTAATGGGGAATATACAGTAATTCAAACAAGAGCTGCACTTTTCTGAACCTGCCTTCCATCATTTGGAAGAGACATTATTGTGAAGTTAGTATCACCTGCCAATATTTCTTACACTTACACTGGTGAATTACGCTGTTGGAGGTGGAGTGGGCTAATATTTATGTCTCTGACTGCACTTAGTCACTAAGACTGCACTTTCTTAGTTCCCGAGAAAGTTCCAATGCCATCCAACGCAGTCCCATGCACTTTCCCTAACCACTTAATTTCTAATACGAATATGAATACTTGTACGCAATGTGATGTACTGTACCTGACACCAAATGAGCAGCATAAACTTGAGGGCCAAATTACATTTGTACCCCCTTTTACCCTCTTATGGTCTAAAGCTGCTGGCAGTCACAATTATGTGGACACCTGGGCAATTTTACTGAAAAACAAACCCCAAAATAAAAACAAACTGCTGACTGTGTATGCTTATATAAAAGCATGCATTCTTACAGCCTATTACCTACTTGAATAAATACTATAAGCTTTATATAAAAAAAAGCCTGGAAGGGAGGCACCCATGGGGCCATGGGCCCCCACAGATTTATTCTCTCCCTTTGGCAGCTTTTGTTTTCCTCTCCACCATGCCCTGTTCTCTACTACACTTGTATGTGAAACTTGTTGCAAAGGGTACTATGAAAAATAAAAACCAATCAATCGACAGGGAGAATGAAGACATTGCATCCCTTCCTCTGATAAGTGCACTAGTTAGTGCCATTCACCATTCACCACTCAGATTTGTGCAATGTATGAAGGAGATTTTGTGACTTACCGACAGGATTTGCTGTTGCACAGCATGCCAAGTATAACTTGGCAGGCTCAAGTTTACCCAGCAATGGTTGGTAAATTGCTTGGCAGCAACTGAAAGCCTGGTTACGGTCAACTAATGACAAACCTCAGACCTGAATAGTGCGTGGACTAAAGGATCTGACCTATATCCCTGTCAAACAGATAATTTTCCTGTAATTGTGCAGCAATTTTGTCACATAAAAATATATTAATAGCAAATACTACTTTGGTCATTGTCTGTAAAGAAAAATAGCAGCAAGTCTGGGTTCTCTACCTAATCATGAGAAACAGAAAAAAACAAAATAGGATCCTGAGTTGTTGCTGTTGCATGGCCTTACATGGGAGGTATAGAAAGATTGCAGGCAGATACGCTTCAGTAACAGTAACACTCCCCACAGTGATACTGTTTACTGATCTGATTCTGGTATGTTGAAGGACACACTGGTGATCACTGTTCACTTGGATAGTGGGAAAACACTGTTACTTTCCAAGTAAAGATTAGAAAAGGAACACATTTCATTTATTTCAAAATTATTCACTTAAGCTATTGTATCACATAAAATCCTGATATCTTCCACATCCTATGAATTCTGTATTTAGTGACATCTTAACTATGCAAAATCCACTGTTTTGGAAATGCTGTGTTGGTTAATATTTGCCTTGTAATTAGATACAGCTAAATTCTGTGAACTCACTATTAGATTAGTAACCTACCCCCATTCCTCATCTCAAGGCCTATCTTGGCATAAGACATGCTTCAGAAATCTTTCCAACACCATTTTGTGCAAACTGAAAAAAGGACCTTGTCCCAAGCACGATGCATGTCAAGAATCATGGCTTCTCCGACACCTCTGATGGACAGATTTTTAAAGCACTGTCTGAAATAAAGATCCTCTGCTAACAGTGTGACATTCCAAACCGATAAAAGCATCCAAGCTCAAAATAAAGCTCTGCCATAAAAGGATGAAGCCAGGGCTAAACCTTGAATTTGGTGTGTTCTCAGTGGAATTCCTCCCTTTAACAATGGCATTTTCAGACACAACCAGTGAGAAGATTAAAATCCTCCCTGCAGATTAAGTACAAATTATCTGTCTCTCTGTTTCAGCACCATTTGTTCATTTATCACAAAACGTCTAGTATTTCTGGTCAGTGTCAATATGCTCCGCATCCTTGCAGTTAACAGATGTCTTCTCTTGTCGAATGAATTACTTTATGTTTCATGCACCGGTGGCCACAGATGTGTCACTATAGCAACATCATTAATTTCAGATCTTACCGGAAACATGCTCTCCAATCAAACCTAATTATACCATATTGCTTTCTTGTCCAACAATAAGGAAACTATAATGTAATTATTGGGACACTTCATTTTCTATTCTGCCGTGGCAAATGCAAGAGCCACAGTGATGGACGCTTCTTGTCAAAATGCGTATTGATGAAGCGCAAACCCAATTTGCAGTCATAAGGCAACTACCTTCCAATTATGTTAGTGACACGGCATTCCTCAGACCCAACAACTCCAATTCTTTTTCACTTTCTGTGTGGTTAACCTACTACACTTGACAAACAGGTAATAACAGACTTGTCTCTGTGTCCTTTCCAATTGTTCCCCACATGAAACCACTAATGCAGGCTCTTTTCAGAAAGGCACTTACTATAATCATTTTTCGGCCTATATTTGATCATATATAAGGTCATACATGTGCATCAGGAACTCACTGGATCTTGGTTACTGCCCACTTTGCTGTGCCAGAGGGCTTACAAGCTTGTGAAACTCTGAAGCCTGTGTATGCAGCCTTCTTATCCTTTTTATTGTGTAGCTATGAGAATGCATACTAGCATCCAGGAGACCTGATTTCCAGTTCCAATCAAGACATCTGAACAGACTGCACCCTGCTTGTTGACAGAGGTACTGCAGCAACTTGCTAAATGCTCTGCTTGTACCCACTCTCCAGCAAGAGTGTGCTGTGTGGGTGCTGTGTCTCAAAAGTAAAGAACACAGCCCCCTTTAAATTGGCATGCTCTTTCATCTCAACGTGTTCTATGAGTATACTTGAAGCCAGGAGACACAGGGCTATCAGCAGCTGTACAGTACATCTGCAAATACACCAGGGTAGGCTTTGTGTAAAGCTTTTTTCTTGTTTTTTACTAAAATATGTAACTTTTATGATAAAGCAAACCTTAAAAAAGTAAATAAAAGAACAGATATACAACTAAACAATTAATATAAGATCATCACTCTCTCTCAGTGTATTTTTGCATTCATACAGGGGTACAGTGAAATTAGAAGTGGAAGTTTGTTTTTTTCTTGAGATAGGAATAAACTGCATTAAATGGATTCCTAACCTGATTGCTCAATAATTCTGATAAGTCAATTTTCAAACACTGCATTCCGATTTTCCACCCCCAAAAAACTAACATTTCTTCTGAAACAAAATAATCACCAGTAAAAAGCAATGACAGGCATGAGTGTTGACTCGCATTCACGCTTCCCACCTGTTTTGTCGGTCAACATATACACCAATCGTCCCAGCTCTTCGGGAATGGTGCTTGTTCGCACCACAGTGCCTGGAATATTTTCATCCTTCATGATCATCCAGCCGTATGCTGCCTTCCCCATGTCCAGGTTAACTCGCAGGCTGTAAGGAGTGACAGACACAAAGGACCGAAAGAAAGATTTAGTTTCAAAAAGGCTTTTTGGCCAAATGTAAAAAAAATATTAACTCAAATATTAATGAGAATAAAACCTGATATGTCTAGAAATAACCATTGATATGAGTGGTTGGAGTAGGCAATAACTGTGGCCGTATATATTGTGTGGGGATGAAGATTATAGGATGCAAGACAGACTTTCACAATAATAAGAAGAGTGCAATTTTGTCCCACAACACCTGGGCTTTAGTCCATGTTTTATCAGCTCGGTGTCAGAGCAGATCATAGACATAAGAAACCTTGAAAAATGGTGGGATCTGTGTCTTTAGCAATAACAGCAATGTAACATGTCTTTAAATGGAGTCTTTTTGAATGGCAGTATATATCATTTCAAGCAGAAGGGGATCTAACTGTGGCCAAAAGGTTGGATAAAACTCAGGAAGGATATCATCAACGACAAGGGATTTATCTTCTGTCATGTACTGCTGTCCTTTAACTCAGACAGGGGTACATCTCCAGTACTGCTACCTCTTCAAGAGAAAGACTAGGTAGATGAAAAACCTGGAGAAATGTCATGTACCTTCTGATCATACTCAAACTACATATTTTAGAATAAAAAAGGTGGAGTTTATCTGCATTAGATCTAACATCAATATCATGTGCTGATCTGGCGAAAGAAGTTTCCATAAACTGTTTTTTTAGGCCAATTACAATTAAATGAATAATTCTGATTAGATATACATAAAGATAATTTGGAACACCTTGGATATTAAATTATTTCCCAAAAGGTTGAGTTCCAATGCAGTGAGTTGTTGATCATATTCTAGAAACGCCAACTTGGTTTCCAATTGGTACATTTTATTAAGATGAGATTTATTTGGTTGTGAGGCCAACACTGCAATTATTTTTAGTAAAGTTTTTAACTGTATCTTGGGACAATGATCATGTGACAATTAAAATCCAGAACTGTCTCATTTTGTAACAGTATTGTATTAAAATGCTAGCAAGCAGCAAGTGAAGATTTTTGTGTTCATATAAACCTGATAGCTACATGGGTTACTCTCATCATTATGTATCACGTAAAGAAAGCTTCAGAAGCACAATTACAGTCAAGTTCGTGAGTAATTTTTATGTTTAGTAAAAAAAAAGTAAATTCTTTGATGATTGGGTACATGTCTTATAACTACTACACCTACCGTACTGTAGTTAAGACATACAATGACTTAATGCTTTAATGCCAAAGAGTACGTGTTCATCTCCTTAAATTCTGACCTGTCAAGAATATGATTCATGACACACGCCAGAATCACATTAGCCTCACTGAGCTCATGCAGGGACTTTGTCAAGTGATTAAAAGAATCTGGTTTATACACCATTAGAGAAATATGCTGAAAAAACGAAAAACAAATACCTGAAATATTTAGCACTAAATGTTTTCATTTTCATTACTTTATCATGCCCTGAACAATACAGAAATTAGAAAATGTGTTCACAATATAATTAACATACCTTTTGTTTATTTCTCTGGATGACTGTTTTCCAGTGTGCCAGCTAGTAATAAGTATTAGAAAACAGTACAGCCAGACCTTGACCATGTTCCTGTTGCTATTCTTTTAGACTATTTGCTACACATTAAGTTGCAAAGACTATAACATTTTCTTCAATTTAAATTGTACATACACATATTTATCTGTGCTGCTGCAGTAGGCTTTTCTTTCTCAAAGTCACTTGCATGTCCACCATACAAACCCCATACCTGGGGGATGATTACATACTGTATATACTTTTTGAAAAAGAGAGGCGTGCTGTGCCCAACCTTACATATTTACAAAGAGAAAAGGAAGATCAATATTCTTGTCCAGAATACAAAATATCAACATTCTACAGTTTCTCTCCATTTCATATCTGGACATTTTATACATATATGAGCATGCACAGTGGTTACCAAAAATATTCACCCCCTCTTGAACTTTTTATTGGGTTACACTATGGAAATATATTCTACCAATTGTTCTAAATTTACTAAAAATATAAATTTATACTTATGTGTACAATTAAGGTGTTTCATGTGAGTTTAGGTTAAATACACCTATCTCTAGGAGGTCCCAAAGTTGATTAGCACATCTCCTAGCAAAAAAAATCATGAAAGAAGATGAAAAGCAAATCCATGATAGGGTTCTTGAAAAGCACCAATGACGGAAAGGGTATAAGAGAATTTCAAAGGCACTGAATATCCCACAAAGCACAGCAAAGTCCATTACAAAGAAATTTAGAAAATATGGCACAACTCTGAAACAGGGCATCCTCAAAAACAGTTTTTGGATGAGAAGAACACTAGTCAAGGAGGTTACAAAGGGCTTAGAAACTAAAAATTACAGTCTTCCATGGATTAGATGTGAGAAACTGTGCATAAGACAGCAACTGTGTGCACGTAGTTGAAACCTGAGGATATGTGATGTACACCAATTTTAGTTGGTAAACACAAACTTTTTTTGCTGTTAAAGAAGCTTCAAAGCCATAAAATGGCCAGACGGTTAGATATGGGATTGTGCCAAGTCCAACAAAAGTGATCAATGACAGATAAGTTTTTCAAAAATCAATTAAAACTTGCTATCTCCAAATTTTTTTCAAGGAAGAAACTAGCATACAGTTATAGCAATCTTTAGAAACATAACCTGTGTTTAATAACCCTGTCACCTTTGATCAGGTCTATTAATTTGGTTGAATCTCATTTCTAACACTGAAGGTTTGTATATTGGTAACTTTCTTTCTGGTTTGAATAGAATGATTATATTTATGATTGAGGGTGACAAAGCATAACTGCTGGAATTCTGGCTGGAACTGAGAACTCCAGCTCTAACACATAAACAGCACTGAATCATACAGTCACACCCTGGTCATAGGCGCAAAGATTAAGTTTATTAGACTTGTTTAGGTAAGTATAGAGTGGTTATGTTCTCTAAACTATACCACAGGCCACCTCTGCAGCTGCATTACCTTTCCACCTCTGCATTAATGTTATATTGCACATATATTGATTTAACTGGCTGCTCCTGTATGGATATCTTGGTAATTATATTTCTTTATGTAGAGATGTAATAATAGAGCTGTACACCTGTGTGTAGACTGATGCCAGTACCTGATAGGGATGATATAGGAGAAGAGCAGGATGAAGCGGAACAGGTTCCGGTACCAGGGTCCAACAAAGCCTTGCAGAGCCACCATGACCACGGACAGGACCACCTGTGCCACAAACAGGGCCTTGGTCAGGCTGTTCAGTTCCAGGTCTAACAGGCCCACCTGGAAGAATTAGAAAACAATATCTCAGGAGAAGAACAGACTTCAGTTCTCATCGCACCTGGTTGAAAATAAGGGTGTCTGGTCTTCTAGTATTTTTTACACTAATACCTCTTCAATAGCCACTTCACTACCAGTGATGGAGCAGCTTCCTGGTCTTGGGCTTTCTGAGGGTCTCCCCTTGGCCAGGTGGGAAAAGTCAAAGTTCTAAAAATACTCAACTCAAACTGTTGTGTCTCACGTTCACTTCAAAAATTCTCCCTGTGCTGGCATGGGCTTTCTCTGGGTGTTCCAGTTCCTTCCCAAAGAGTGTGTAATGGATTTGCATTCTATACAGGGTACAATACCACCTTGCATCTTCTTTTTAACAGGACAGTCTCTAGGTTGCCATGAACCTTAACTTGATTCTCTTTGTCTGATAATGGATGGAAGAATGTATGAATATTAGCACTCCTAAGACAAAAATATAGGCAACTACATCATAAAGAAAATATCCTTATATGACTGAAGCTGTTCTGAATTTGGGTATTAGTTAACCTTTTTTTTGAAGAAAGTAATTTTTTCCCACATGAAGTGACAGAGTTGCTTGCCAGTGGTTAATTTTTTACCTGAAAGACTGGATGGCAAAGGCAGTTGAAGTACAGAAGCTGAGGATTATCTCTACAGTGTATACACACACTGTAGCATATTTTGTTGCTTTTAAGTGAAGTTGCTTTTTTATTAATTTACATTTGTTACTGTAGTGACTGAATTTCAACTTCCACCATCCTTCTTATGCATTGTATCAATTGAAGATGAGTAAAACAATAGCAATCAAAATGCTTTACATTGGATAAAACTGTGGATGATAGTATTTTTATTTTACTATCGTTTGTTTGGGGGTATCAAAACAGCAGATGAGACCTCCTTACAAACTGGACAAAGCTCCTTTATTTTATAAGTATAATCATACTAGTGTGGGAGGTTGAAATCCAAATTATTGCACTACAGTGCTCTTTTTTAACGCTACCAGATTTATATTTCATGAGCAAGACAAAACCGGCTATAAAAGGCTGTAACTGCTGCAGTACTCTCACTTTCCTATGTAATTAATTTCACAAGATTTACTTTTCTTGAAAAATCCTTTTCAGTATTTCATTTAAGAATATTCTAAAGCAAAATAAAAAATCAAAGACGTTATTTTTTAGGTATACTAAGCTAGTGTGGAAAATTCTTTCAATATTCAGATTGTTTGTGGTACTAGCCCATAACCATAAAATGCATTATTGTAGAAATCTCTGAATGTAAAGGCACACTGAAAAGTTCCCATATCCAAATGCTTTCTTTCTCTGGTCTAACTTTTCTTTTATTTTTCAAGTGTGTCTCTCAGCCAATGAAACATGTGGGAAAATTGTCAAAAAGGATTTCTTTTTCCCTGCCAAAGCAACCAGCAAACCTCCATCACAGTGGGCCTTTTATCTCCGGACTGCGTTCGCAAAAACAGTAAAACATAACATTTCCCTAAATAAAGAAACAGTCTGAAAAGAAGACTATATTTAAATAGTTCAGAAAAAAATCAACATTCCTGAGCATGGTCTGCTCCTTCCCTTGAGAACTGAGGGACACAGCAACGAGATTTGCTGATTTATCAGCTGTGTTTAAAAAGTAGCACAGCAAAGACAAATATCTTCCAATTTCTGTCGCCTCAACTACTACACAGTTTATGCTTGAATTATTGAGAAAAATAGGTTTGGGGGGATTAAAATGAAGAAAAATTAAGCTAAAAGACATAGAACATGTTTGAAAGCCCAGATCTCTTTGCATTGACAAAGGCAGCCTAACTTTTCAGGCCTCACTGAGGATCAGATGAAGTCATTATTCATTCAGTCAGGAGGGGAAAAAAAAGACTCAATTACCTCAACCTAAAGATGCTATCAATGAATGCAAAGTGCATATTTTACTCTATTCATCCAAATCCCATTAAAAGTGAAAGGAATGATTTAATCTGGCTTTCTAGAGTTGGTCTTTTTTGTAATAAAATAAAGAATGGCTGTCTTGCAATATGCATAACCACTAACTCAAACTGCTCCTCTGTATCGTACCATAGAAAAGCTGTGAAATTTTAGACAAAATATTCAGGAATGGCAGACATGGATTTGCCTGACGATGTCAATAGCTCAAGGGTAAAAATAATTTGTCACAAGGGTGAAATCACTCTTAACGTATACAATTTATTATTGTTCATTTTACGGACTGAAAAGCTGCTATGAATGTAGCAATCCCCTGCATTTTCAAATATTTCATCTGAGACTAAAGTGAAAATCAGAAACAGAATGGACCATGATATGAACAACTTTTGCTTTACCTAAGAAAAGATGGCAAATTGAGTTATTGTGTTTGTTTCTAAATGAGCAATATCCATTTGTCCTTAAATGGATTTAAATCACATTCTATTTTAACATTTTAATTTTTGTAGCACAATTTCCCACAGAATCATTGTAAGAAATACAGCAGTTGTGAAAGACAGCTAATGCATGTGGAATTCCAACTCAGTAACTGGCCTTTTGGGGAATGGATGTACTGTATGTGCTGTACTGTATATAAACATGCTACAGTATATTACCACATGGATTGAGCCAGCAAACAAAATAGTAAAAAAAAGGCTGCTAAGAATGTACCAAATAAGATTCATTTGGATCTTAATGACAGCTGCAATACAAGCAGTGCAAATTGTCACCTTTTTGACAGCGGGAGTAGACATACTCACAAGAGAAGTGTGAAGTTAGCAGTGATTAATTGTGGGACTTCTGACAAATCTCTTGCTACTTATGTGCAAGTGCACTGGTATGTCAAAGTCCACTGCTATAACATTAAACAGGATACTGCAAGGCCAGATGGTGGAGTTCCACATTAAGGTTTGTGAACCATCTTCAGAAACGTTTGCTCCTAAAAGGTCAGGCTAGATCACATTGGGATGCACTAGGATGGAGGCTAAAACGTGTTGCACTGTCTGTGGGCACCCATTTTAGAGGAGTTTACCAAGAGAAAGAGAAATACATCAAACCTATTTTAGTGTGCTTTATAAACATTACAAAAAAATGTGCATGCTATTGACCTTTGTGTTACAACACAGTTTGCTTTATAGTTCTGGATTAATATTTAGGCTAATTAGTACACACTAATTACCGTGGTAATAGGATAGCAGTGCCAGTTGAGGAAGGTGCAAAACAGTAAGCTCCAGCTGATTTCCCTGACTCTTGGATCCAGATTGCTGTGAGACTTGCCTCTCAAAATCTTTTTGCTTCCAGTAGAAAATTGCCCTCTACAAATTATTATGACATCAAATATATTGACATCGATACAAACCATATCTTGCTAAGATAGGAATGGTACTATGTTCTTACAAATTGAAAACAGAATCACAATTTTACAGTTTCAGTTAAAAATAAATATATTTTTTTTACTTAATCCAATTTAATTTTAAGTGCCTATTGATTGTTATTAAAAATGTTACTACTGCCCATATCTTTTCTTCTACAAATGCGTTTGCTTTTGAAAAGGGTTAAGAGTGCAATTTCAAAATTAAAAAAAACAAACACCTTTGTGCTCTGTGGGTGCTGCATCTTACATGTCAGATTTTTTTCTTAATTATAAGAACAATATAAGACTTTCAGTTACTTAATGAGTCTGATATATGCATTATGATAAATGTGACTGACCTGTCATTTGTAAGCTGTAGCAGGTAATTTCTTTTTTATCCTCAACACAGTCTGAGTTTATGGTGCATTTAATGCCTTTTCCTACAGCTCTATTAAGGAAATAACACAGCATCTTAACCTACAGATTTAATGTGGGAAAAAATTAAAACATTACCCCATGAGAGCAATTTGACAATTGGATGAGGATATCAGTCTGAATCACGCATATTTATGTACCACTGTCAAAACCAGATAAGAAGACTCAACTGGACATGACTTTACAGACATTTTTATTGTTCCCACCATTATAGAAATCTTTTCCTGCCCAAGAGCAATGTACTCCAGATCTGAACTCCCACAGCTGAACAGCTCTATTAAAGTCAAGCAGAAGCATGTAAACCTTGGTACTGAAAAGGTTAATTGTCCCTTAAACGTCAGACATCCCCGCTATGAATATTTCTTTCAGCATAGGAAGCTATCAATTGTAAACACTATTTTTTATTCACCAGACCACCCAGGTATTCAGAATAATTACTTCAATAACTTGAGCTATCCGATGACAGAAGGAACATCAACATGCTGAGACATTCAAACAGTAAAATCTTTAAAGAACAGCTCCAATATTAAGGTTTAAGTTTCAAGTGGTAAGCACCCCCCCCACCATTGTAATTTTATAGCTGCGTGCCTGTACACTCAGAATTACAATAAGTTGGTTTCCATCAGTAATCCACTAACTAAAGGCAACACTGTTTTCACCTTCATTGAAGCTGAGAACAGTGCTAATCCTTTATAAAGTCATTTCATTTCTGATTTCATTTCATTACACTTTTCTAAGCGTAGAGCAAGAGCTGAATTGCTGAATCCAAAATACACATTTGCCTTAACTTTCATTTGAAATTTTTAGGGCTTATACTGAACAGCCTTCATTAGTTATAATAACATAATAATCTATTAAACATTTTGTTTAGGGCTCCACAATGTACTGCATTTATGTGCTACAAACTAATATACATTTTTGCATTTATTAAAAATTATATGAAAAAAGTTGCAATGCTTTGGAATAAAAGAAAAGAACAGAAACTCTTACTTAACTGTGCAATAATAATAACTAGGTCTAGCAATTTAGATTTATTCTTACATTTAAGTATTGTTTTCACAGGGCGTTATCATTATTCTTAATTACATACACTATATAAACACACAATGCTGTGATTTTACTAAGCAATATGCTGTTCTTACCATATAGTAAATACAATAAATTAACTACATATAAAATTAAATAAATTCACTCACCATGCTTTGATACGAAAAATGTTTTCTAATTTA